ACAGGCCGTGAACGGCATTCACAGGGACTCAGTCTCGAGTTATGTAGACTCTAGACCTAGATGCCGTTCTAGGCACACAACCACTGGACATTGACGTGACGGAGCTTCATCTGCCTCGGGAGACAACAACCTTCTAAACCCTATGTAAGGTGTCGTACGAGAACAGCTTCCCGTAAAATCCTGCAAATCGTGAAGTACCTGGAAAAGATTTAATGTGTTAAAAATTGTATTAAGGTCAAACTTGCAACTTGAGTAAGCTTTCCTCAAAAATGGCTGGCATAAGCTCCGAAAAAAATTACCGTTTTAAGATTCTGGACGACGTTTTGATTGCGACATTAGACTCGAAAAGTGCCAAAGTCAATTCTCTTAATTTATCTTCAAGCTCTGAATTCAAATCTTTTTTAAATGAGCTCGAGGCGAATACATCTTTAAAATCAGCGGTCATAATATCGGGTAAACCAGGATGCTTCATTGCCGGAGCTGATATAGACATGTTGGAAAGATGTCAAAACATAGATGAAGCTATAAATATATCGAAAGAAGGGCAAGATATCTTTAACCAGTTGGAGAGTAGTATAAAGCCTATTGTAGCAGCAATTAATGGAGTTTGTCTCGGTGGAGGCCTTGAATTGGCTTTGGCATGTCATTACCGTATAGCAACGAAAGATCGTACAACGAAGCTTGGTACCCCGGAGGTCCTATTGGGACTTCTTCCTGGAAGTGGTGGTACTGTAAGGCTTCCGAAGATTACTAATTTAACAAAAGCATTGGATTTAGAACTTTCAGGAAAACAAATATCTGCAGAACAAGCAAAAAAAATTGGTTTAGTAGATATGTTGATAGATCCCTTGGGACCTGGACTAGAATCTGCTGATAAAAACACAATTGAATACCTGGAACGTGTGGCGATCCAGGTGGCCAGAAGTATTGCTAATCGAAACTTGAAGGTGCGTATTTAAAACTAGACGAATTAAAAATTTAGCGTAATATAAAAATTTACGGGCACCGACACAAGTGCAGAATATGGACCGTTAAGCTAGAAAAAAAACGAAAATGTGGGAGTGGTCCGCCCTTTTTTCCTAGGTTTAAGGCAAAAGTCTAGAATTTATCTATGGAAAAACCAAAAATGCATATCGATAGTACTTTTTACCTCCCTTTTATTAGCTCGGGATGTAACTACGTAATGTTGATGCGCCTAAAAGATGCATTCTCTCTGATGACAGTTGAATGGAAATTATAATAGCGAGGTTTTAGTTTTTTAAACTAGAATTTTTTTATTACGCTGATTTTAACCTTACCAAAATTGTTTATCGCAAGTATAAATAAAGAAGATATAAGGGCTTAAAGTTAAATTTTTCTATCTTTTACAAATCAATATCTTATGAACTAACTAACCTATTATATTCAAAAAATTTATTGAATGATGCCGTTTTTATATGAAAAATGTGGAGAAACAGCAACAGTTTATAAAGGGGTCATGTAAAAGAGGAAACCAACATAAATTTAAATATGCCCCAATTATCTCTATTTCAGTAGTAACCTCTTTAAATGACTACATTTCAATAATCTGTTGAAAAATATTAAAAAAATAATAATAAGTTGTAA